TGTTTACTAGATACTGGAGCGGAGACCTCTTTGATGACTGCCAGGTTTTATAATGCACACATGGCAAGCACTTTAGGAAGTTGGAACCAGTGGGTACGTTCATTAAATTAATGGGCGCAAACGATTTAGAGATTGCTGTTCAGGGTTACCTTGAAACCACCCTGGAAGTGTTTGGCCAGAAGTTTAGGGGTAACTTTCTCATATCCAAGGAGACAGAAGCCTCTTGTAATGCTCCCCGAAATCAATGTCCTGTAATCCTTGGATGCAACATTTTGCATCTCAAGTGAAAGTTATGGGGTTAACACAGCTTGGCCCTGACTGGGAATTGGCACTTCGTTGGATGTGAACCACATCCAACGCTGAAGGCAGTGGTTCGAAAGTTTGTTCAGAGTCATTGGCTCTAGATGTGTTCTCTTGCGACCAAGAGGTTATTCAGGCAAGCACAGTTCAACGTCTTCAATGCAAGTTAGACGTAAGCACTTCTTTACCAGATGACAAAGATTTTCTGATAAGGGCGTTGTGTCTGATGAGCCATGGTGGCCTCAAGGAAGTCCGGTCATCTGATGTTTCTGATCCTTCTGTGTTGTGTCAGCTACTTGAAGGTATTGACAGTTTTGATGGTGTGTCTATTGATATTTTTCGTGGCTAACACCAGTGTGGAGCCTATTGTTATTCCTCCATTTATGGAGCTGGCAGTAGCAGCGCAGGTTGTGCCTACTGAGCACATTTTTGTGGGTCCAGCAGATGGTGGTTTCAGTGTTTCAATGCACCGTGTAGCTTTTGAAGGATCAAATTTTTGATCTGATCCCGCATCAAATAAAGCTTGATGATGATAAACCAGTCAATTTGCCACATCGCAGGGTTAAACTTATACCTAGTCTTGTTGAAGAGGTGAAACAGCTTCTTCAAGATCTTCTTGACAGAAAGATTACTCGTAGGTCTACTAGCTCGTACACTAGCCCAATTGTCCTTGTTCGAAAGAAGAGTGGACAGTTGAGGCTATGCATTGATTATAGGCTACTGAACGCCAAGACAATAAAAGATGCATTTCCTTTACCAAGGATTGAAGAGACGCTGGAGTCTCTGGCGGGGGCAAAGCTCTTTAAGTCTCTAGACATGGCGCATGGCTACTTCCAAGTAGCCAGGCATGAGGATTCCATAGGGAAGATTGCATTCTAGGTTCCATGGGGCCAAAACGAGTTTTTGCGCCTTCCTCAGGGCTTGAGCAATGCGCCTAGTACTTTTCAGCGCATAGTGGAGCTGATTTTCGGTGACCTTAATCTTTCTGAGTTAGTCATGTACCTTGATGACTTGTTAGTCTTTTCAAGAACGTTTAAGGAACACCTTGCCCGCCTGGCCAAGGTCTTTGAACACCTCGGGCGTTACAGTCTAAAACTAAATGGAAAGAAGGCCAGCTTTTTCAGGTTTCTGTTAGGCATCTTGGGCACAGTGTCAGCAGCGAAGGAGTATCTGTTGATCCTGACAAAACTCCTCGTATTTAAGATTGGCCTATTCCAACAATGATGCAGCAGTTGCGATCATTTCTCGGCTCGGCCTCGTACGACAGGGGGTTTGTCTCTGGATTCTCTAAGGTGGCTGAGCCATTGCATTCCCTAACCCGTAAGGGACAGGAAAAAGCAGGGAACGGGCGTCAGATGTCCAGCTGTATTCACCACCCTCATGTCAGGGCAGTGTTGTCAATTATTGTCTGTAATCACCCTGTACTGCATGCAGGTAAGGCACCAAGTCAAAATAGAAATGGTTCACCAAGCTGGAAATGATTGCCCTTAATCCCCTTTCAAACCATTGCCCGATTCAACTGCAAGTGGGCAATGATTGCAAGAGAGCGTTTCCCAAAAAGGAGTTGGCTATGCAGCAACCTCTTTGATGCATACCACCATTTCCCCCACCTTGGTACAAAAACCCTGACTCCCAGCTTACCACGAATGGTTCTTGTGCACCGGCTTTGTTGTGTAAATTGGGCCAGTTCATCCACAGGCTTAGCACAGCTTATTCAGAAGGGGAAGCAATTAATCTCTTAACAAAATACTAACTCCATCAGAGTCAACAGGCCTATGTGCCTCACTAAGTCTCGTGTCACTGAATTAAGATCTGTAGTTTTCTTTCCCAAACTCTAGCACTGTCAGACAGTGATTTCCACATCACAGATTTGTCAATGATTGGAATAGAACAATAAACTAAATGGAGAACATTATAGATGCAACAATCACAGGACTTCAAAATCAATCTAAAAAGTAAAATAAGAAAAGTTGACTAATGTTGGTATATAAGGGTAGCGTGGCAAACTGAAGGAAAAAAATCCATATCCATGTAAACGGTAGTATAAACCCATCCCCAACCCCCCCCCAAATTATTGACATATCAATGGGCTGGGGTCCCAGTTGTGGATAAACAGCTCTAATGACTCAACCACCAGCCACAATGGAGTGTAATCCTTAAAGCTCTCTATTGTTAGAAAATATCCCCCAGGAGTGGCGTTCATCAAACCACAAGCATTTAGCTAGTGACTCCCTACCGTTGCCCGCTTTACTCTGAAGTGGGTAAGGAGCTTATCGTTTATGTATTGTTTCCCACTTCATGAACCGTTTCTATTTTGACTTGGCGCCTAACCATAATTGGTGTTGTTTTTGTCAATGACAAACTCATAAAAACCTCCAAGGGTGGAAGGTTGAATTCTAATACTGATATGCAACGATATTCTGAAGGTTGAATTCTAATACTGATATGCAACGATATTCTGAAGAAACCATTGTTATGTGTCGTGAGTCTGCTTGAACAATATCTATACAAAACACTCCATACGAGGCTGCAAATGACAGCTCTTCTTGAGTTATGTGGTACCACACAAAGAAGTTGACGCTCAAATGATATCTGATTACTTTTGGTAATGCAGGTATAGATATATCAACCTTTTCATCCCACAGCACAAGATCAGCAGCATGCAGTGTCACCTATTGACAGGGATACCAACAGAAAGCAAAGCATCCTGAAGACTGCCGGATGGACAAACTGTTCAATATTTCCAAGATTCCATAATCAACCGGTTCAGTTCTTCATTTTCGGCACAGCAGTATAAGACTGTGCCACATGCCAGAATACTGGCTGGCCACATAAAAGGGCTAATTGATTTCAGCCAATAGACATTTATTAGCCACACCTGAATGTAGGCCAATGTGGGCTATCCCAATGTATAAATTATTTGTATTATTGTGCATGCAGTATTTAAGCAGGAAATTATGTCACATGCAATTGGTTCCAGGCAAATCCTTAGTACATTAGTTCCAAGCAAATCATCCTTTCTTTATGACTACACTTTGGCAAGCAGTGCCTAAATTTATGTTTGTATCTCACTGTGCCATGTGCATTCTGTTGTGTGTTCTTTTTAAATCTGAGTACCATTAAGGAATGCTGTATGACTGTCTGAACACAACTTAATTGCACATCTAGTTTCTCTGTGCCTTGAACAAGGAGCAAGGCTTATTTATGATAAGAATAGAATCAAAACTTTATTTCTCAGTAACACTGAAAGTTTGTCCTTCTGTTATTTGTGGTTTTCACTACATGATATTAATATCTATGTAATTGCTACCAACATGTTACCACGTGCAAGCACACCATCTGAGCATGAGGAAATAAACCATGATATACTGCAGGAGATAAACTTGACACTCCCTTGTCGTATTTGCCGTCAACTGATGCTCTTAACTTCTCACTTAAGGCTAAAGTGCTATGTGATAGTGAGGTAGAATTTAAAAATTAAACAAAGAAATGAAGTTTGATTGTAATTCTACCGAATAAATCACTAGCACTAAAGGATACCAGCCCCAAGTCTGATATCAAGAATCATGTACATTTTACCCACCCCTTTCCACAATTGCCAGCAAACTCAGAGTACGCTCAAAATGCACTGAAGATCCTGTACCTTGTGCGTGGGTTATATGGGGAACCCCTATTGTTTATTACAATGAATGCTATTAAACACGACAATACATTCCAGTGAAAGGTGCAATCCTTGTCCTCCAGTGCTAGTGACAGATTTAACAGAATTACAATCAAACTTGATTTCTTCTTTTAATTTTTAAATTGTAACATACCAATGCTTTCAGACTGAAGACAAGGGCATAGAGGGATTTCACATTAGCTCTGTCTGTGCATATCCGCATCGAAACTGAGGCTCTCTGTGTTGAACTTTGTCGTGCGCGCCCGCGGAGTCCACACAGTACATGCAGTATCCGGTTCATAAGTGTGATGCCACTTCAGTTTAAACCACGCCCACTGCACATGCAGATACATGACCATCGCGGGTACGTTCGTACGCGGTAAATTGCCGTTATTTTTTATTTCTATTTTATGTGTCAAGTCATCCTGAAAGACTCTTCCACGAAAATTTTCAGCCTGAAAAGTCTGAATTTAACATACCTATATGTTTTTTGTGTCTTGACTCCTTACTTTCAATCGTCTTATCATATTAAAAATTGAAGCTGACACATACAGCCTCATTTTCAAATGAAGAAGTGCCCAGATTGACGCTAAAAGCGTCGTATTGGGATCCCTCTATTGCCAGGATTTTATTGATTGGGTGAAGGATGGAGGACAGCACTCATCAGGACCATATGAGAATATATTAACGGTAGAAAGAGAATAATTATGAGGTATTCTTGAGCAAATTAGTGCCTTTTGTCCCCTTTCCCACTTTTTGATTTCTTTCTCTTTTTATCTTGCTATTTTTTTCCACGGGACAAGTCCCTCCTCCTTCCACAATACCCATTACTAAGGGATTAATTAGCCTTTGACTCATGTTATTTGTCTTCTCATAACAGAGTAAATATTATATAATTATTAAGCTATTTTCTACCAGTGACTCATGTCCTGTCAAGTTGCTTACATGTGCCTGTTTTGTTTTCTACCACTAAAACAAAAAGCATTGAAAGGACATCTCAAATGTACACGTAGACATAGCACTGACTTTTTACACTTACTTTGTAGCTGGTCATCTTCTTCTTTATCTCTGGTGATAAGCTTTGTGTAGTAAGGTTTTAATGTAGCCTCCCACCAATTTAAATGCACCCTTAGCTTCTCTGTTCCATACATCCATTTGGAAGCATAGCGCTTGGTGACATCCTTCACAGAGTTTTCTGCATTAATAATAATTGTTCGAGAACATGAAAAAGGGTATGACTTGTTTGGCCAGAAAGTATAAAAAAGCACCATGCTATTTCCCAAGATTTGCAAAGGTTTCAGCAGCATTATGAGGGTTCATAGGGCAGTGTCCCTTTCTCAAGGAGTGTTTGCCACCCCCATAAAAAATGAAGAATGTAAAATCTTACTTAGCTGGAGTCGGACATGAATTCATCCAAAAATGACTTTTATCCTCAGTACCCTCTCAACACAGATAAGCAAATAAATTGAAAACCCAATACCTACATCTCCAATCTATGAGGAATCTTTGCTATAGTTCTTACAGCAAGAAACACAACTTATTCTCTAACATTTTATCTCATATGTGGTTATATGGTTCCTATAATATAATTCCTAACCTGTTAAGGTTTGTACTCCATGGTACAATAAATAATTTGATCAAGAAAGGAAAAACCGAAAACAACTTGAGTGCAAGTGGCATTAATCCGGGCTTGAGATCCATGACCAGTTGTACTCGCAGCAGTGTCAACAAGACATTGCAGTTCTTCGCAAAACAAAACAGGCTCACTTTAGCCAGACTGCTCCTGACTGCAGCAACAATTCTAAGCAACTGTTTGGTGTTGCCAACAAACTCCCAAATCATAACCAGTCATCTTATCTTCCTCCACATACCTGCAGAAGAAACCTTGCACAGGTTTTTAGTAAGTTCTTTGTTACCAAGAGTGATTCCACATGACAGCCTCTCTCCGGATGCACCTGTTGCCCCCTAAAATCAACCGCCTGCAGTTCTGGAATCCTTTGAACTCACTACACAAAAAGAAACAAGTCTCTCATTTGGAAAAAACCTGCCACATCCACCAAACTACTGAAAGACTGTATTCAATCCTTCACAACAGTGCTTGCTGGAATGGTTAAGCTGAGTCTTCTGGACAGTGACTTTCCAGCAACACTGAAGACAGCGTACATTCATCTGGAGTTGGAAAGACCATCCTTCGACCTAGAATCTTTGCAGAATTATCAGCCTGTGTCTAACTTACCATTTTTATCAAAGTTTCTAGAGCGTGTTGTTTTCTACAGATTGACTGATTATCTGCAGAAAAACAACCAACTGCCTATCAGGTCAATCACAGTGTAGAAACCTTGCTTGTTAATTTATCAGACCACATTTTGTGAGAGATGGATGCAGGGATAATCACAGCTGTGGTTCTATTAGATTTCTCCTCAGCATTTTATACAGTCAATCATGAAATCATGATAGTATCTTGTCTTCTTTAGGCTTGTGTGGCCAGGTCCTGGATTGGTTTAAGTCATACTTGAGTGATAGTCATTAGCTGGTTTGTATCGGTGATGCAAAATCTGATCCTGTAGGGCAGCATCCCTCTGGGTTCTGTTGGTGTGCCCTTGTTTTCCATCTACCTAAATGGACTGGAGCAAGTCTTGCAACATCGTGATATCCAGTGCAACTGCGATGCTGTTTATGTTCAATTGTTTGTCATTTGAGCCAGAAGAGATCGATGGCATGCACTCTTTATGCACGTTAGAGGCATTGATGATGTCAGTATGTGGATGTGTTGTTACAAATATTATAACACAACAACTGATTTTATTAGACTCCAAGGTACAACTTGCCAAAGTTAAGAGTTTCCAAGATTAGAATTAGTGATTCAGCGGTCAGTATGTCTATGACCTGTGAGAACCTCGGTGTTACTTGTGACTCTTCCATGTCCATGTCCAATCATGTTTCCAATATCTGCAAATCTATTTGTTTTCAGTTGCATAATTTGGGTTTAATTCGCAAGTACTTGATGCGATCTGCCACAGAAAAACTTGTTCACGCTCTCATTTCTTCACGTTTGGATTTTTGCAACTCACTCTCATATCAATAACCCGGTGCCCAACTCGTGTGTCTTCAAAGACTTCAGAATACTGCTGTTCATATTGTGACTCTGACTTCGTCTAGAACTGACATAACACTTATTCTACACTCTCTGCACTGGCTCTGAGTTGCTGACTGGATTAAGCACAAAACTCTGTTGTTTTTTTCTATGCCCTTCATAGTTCTGCTCCAACATACAACATTGATTTACTGGCTCATTACCGACCGTCTAGGGGACTGAGATCATCTGATGCTTCCCTGTTTGCTGTCCCCACTACACATAACTCTTGGGGGATAGATCCTTCTCTCATGCTGGCCCTCATCTGTGGAACAAACTCCCTTCAGATATTCAGACTAGTGCCTCCATCACTGACTTCAAGGTTTCTCTTAAAACCAACTTGTTCAACGGTTATTACATTATTTCTTGTTAATTTTGTTTGATTTATAGTTGTATTGCACCGTGTCATTTTGGCAGATACCAGTGTGCTACAAATTCCTCCCCCACATTATTAAGTGAGGGTCGGGTCTACTAGAGAATACCTACCCAAACAGTCACTACATATGCGGAGTAGCACCGATTTAGGTGGGGGTTGGCAACAACACATGTAATGCCAAGAATACACTTTCACATATAAACAAGAGTGTATACATTTAAGAAAAAGTAAATGAACTTCATGATGACTTGTCACCCGTCCTACAGGAGGTCCCTTTGACCTCTGTCCTGCGGAGAGTAGGATTGTCCTGCCATTTGCGGTGTTGCTTTGTAGAACATCCCTCAAATTGCAGGAGGTAGAGGGAGACTTCCAACATGCAGCTTTGCAGATGTCTGCAACGGAAATGTTTCGAGAGTAAGACCAAGATGCAGATACTGCTCTTACATCATGAACCCTGATGTAGTGTTGACGGCTAGACTGGATTAGCAAATCTAATGGTGAAGCCTGTCCAGTGGGCAAGAGTGACTGATGCCACTGGATGGTATGGTCTCGTGATCATGATAAGTGACAGGTTTATTGTCCCTCTCATGCTACTGTTTTAGTCAGGTACCAATTCAAAGTTTATCCGCGTCGTCTACAGTATGTAAGGAGACGGAGAGTGTAAAGATATCGTAATGATCAGGTGAGGGAGTCTGTCCTTCATCAGGAAGTCAATCGAAGAAAAGAGGAGGACATCATGCTGCTCCCAATGTAGACGGCCTTTGGCAACAGTGAGAACCTTTAGTTCACTGCCTCCTCTGGAGGTAACCATGCATTGTTACGAGAAATTCCAACCTGATGCTGGTGTGCATAAAGGAGGCATTATTTAAGGTTCAAAGGATGGACCCGAAAGCATCTAGAGAACCTAGCTTAGGTCTTATGACCGGACCAATTTCCCAACAAGGGGACACTGGATGAACATATCAAGCAAAGGGTGATGGAATGTCATGCTGTTATAAAGGCAGTTGAACTGATTTTGAAACCAACGTGTATGGCAGCTAGGGCTGACCTGTAAATATGAGTTGTAGATATGAAAGAGCTCCAAATGAAAGAAGTACATAAGGATGTCTGTTATAGCGCTCATAGAAGCGTGAGTTGGAGCCAAAGCCTGATTGTTGAAGCACGTAACAAAATGTTAAAATTTGTTGTCACAAATTGAAAAGGTAGGCAAATGACGTCCAATGTGGCAATGGCTACAGCATCGCTAGAAAGTCCCGCCAAACAGAAAGACTGCAGTCGACTGTTGGAAGTTGAGCGTTGTTCGGAAAAGTGGAGAGATTGATGTAAGGCTGCTCTATCATCCCAAGGAGAGTGCGTCCACCACTACATTGTTGGACCCTGCCATGTGGATCGTCAGCAGGTCAACTGCATGATCCCTTGTCCTTTCTGTTGATGTGGCTTTGGTTGGCAGTGCGAAAGAAGAGGCAAGAAAGCTGCAAGACTGACTCAAAGATGGAGATGACATTAACATTCAGAGCCACGAGCATGAATGTAGTGAGGTCTGGATGGAAAGGAGAACACCCTTTTCACATCCTAGGAATTTACCTTGATAATAAGGAAAGAAATGAAACAGGTCAGAGACGAGACAACGACTTCATGTAACCTAGATAAAGTTAGTGTCAGTCTCTATCAAGCAAGGAGTTTCTAACAGAAGGCTTGTTAAAGTCGGAAGGCTTGTTATTTCGGAAGCATAAGTTATCTTTAGCGGCAGTGTAAAACACTGGAATATGCGGAAGGTTGCTGAAGTTGTTCATGTCACATTGAAGGAAAGCCGTGTCTCGTACCCAACATGGCTGCCAGCGCTCCGACTGTGACGGAAGACTTCGATCTTTTTCATGAATGCGTGAAAAATAAATAGCCGGGGTAGAGGAGTCAGGCCGCATGATAACTGGATAACCGTAGGTGCAAACATGTATGTTTTAAAAAGGTAGACTGGTACGCTGTAGAAATCAAGAACTGGAAAATGATCGGGAACAGGGAATGCTTGTGATCCTCCAGGCAAAAAGCATCACGGAAAGTCTTGCAGGCCAAACTGTGTCCTGTGCGGCAATGAATTGGTTGGCTCACAGCTGGCCTAATTTTGATGGACCTCATAACAGTCACAATAAATCGATTTTGGACACATCCACTTTGAAGTAAACATGTGCACGGACAGGGTGTACAGCAGAATCTGTGGTTGAGTGGAGCTACGCAAGTGGGAAATGGTCGTTTTGTGGATCACAGGGTTGTACGTGGTGAGCCGCAGTGGAAACAGATTTGCAAGATTTCTTCCAGAGGGCCCTTGGGGAAACTCTGGATTACAGGGTGCCAAGGGTCATGTAAAAAACCCCAGTGGCTTGAAAATCATTAGGTTTGGATGCCTGGGGTTGCAGACTGGAGAGACACGGCGGTAGGTCTTCATCGTGATGGCGAATTCACTGGGGCAGAACTACAAAGATAGGAACACTGCCCTGGAAAAGAAATCACCAGGTAAGGCATGGACTCACTTCAATTCCAGAGTGGAACCCTGCCCAGTGTCATCATGGCTCCCGGCCAGAGAGAACGGAGGGGGCTGGGGGCTTTCTAGGCATTGTTGATTTACCAAGTTTCCGTTTTTCCTACATGTTTCTGTGTCGCTTTGATCATCAATCCTTCCTTCTTGAGTAAAGTATTACCATAATTTTCACACCTCTAGTTTACATTTTGTGTTCTTTTCTTCTTTATTTTCTTTTCTTTGTGCACCCTGCAGGTTCAAGTACGCCACGCCCTTCGCCCGATATGGCCCAGAGGAATCCATGTGACATTCCCGATTGGTATGCTTTCTCTCTGTTTGTTTTCCTCGATCAATAAGCCACTTGCAAGTTCAATTTGAATAAAATCTGGTACACTGTGTTATCTGATTGCATAGAAACGTAACAATTTGACTTCCCCAGGCTAAAGACACTGTTGCTATACTTCGTGATTCGGGGCAAGCTTTTGCATAGCGAGCACCATCTCTGGAATGGACTGGTTCCTTTATACCGTTCTTATCCATTGAAAACAGTGCATTGTTGCAAGGCGTCTCTTATGTAACTAAGCACAAGCTTGCCCCTAATCACGAAGTATAGCAACAGTGGTTTTAGTATGGAGAATTCAAGTGACGTTCACGTGAATTTAAAGAACTTGGTGTACTAGATTTTATTCAAATTTAACTTGCAAATGGCTTATTGGAAATTTCAAATGGAACACAACTACTGGCTCCGATTAGATTGCTTTCATTTTGTTTCCCTTATCAAGTGAATTTTTCAAATGGGACTCAATTGGTTTGAATTGGTATGGAAATGGTTTCAATTGGTTCTTCAGTTGGTAACAACTGGATTGTGAATTGGTAGGCAAGTCTGATAACGGTCCTGCTATCAATCTTAGTCTCTTTCCGAGAGGATGTAGGCTGTTGCTGTGTGGCAGCGTCAGCAGTGTGTTCGACTGAGGCAGAAGACAAGAGGTTAGTGAACAGGGTGAACCGAGGTTGCATTGCGAGGTTGCCAGTGGGGTAAAATCATCAATGCTCTGCAGCCCTCCAGCTGGACTTTCTGTAAGGCTATTCCCAATCAGACTGAAAGGTGGAAAAATGTAACAGTAAATATGTTTATTCGTACAATTGGTTTCCTTTGACCTGTTACGTTGTTTAACCACCACTTGAGATCCAGTTTCATCAAATCAGAAATTGTCATCTCTACATCAAAGTTACCCTTGCTCAATACCAAAGCTGCATGTTTTGCAAATTCCAAGTTTCTATAGTGTCAGGGGCAAAAAAGCACGGCTGAAACAATGCCACGAAACTTCCAATGATCTTTGCTACGTTGCGTATTGTGTCTGCATTTTTCTGAATCATGGCTTTACACAGCCTTTGGATGTAATCTATTTTTTCTGTAGGTAATGCTACAGTCACTGAATCCAAGTCAATCTCAAAACCCAAGTGGATTAGTCGTTTACAGAGATGGAGAACTGATTCATCCCAATTTATGACAAATCCTAATTGCTGAAGAGTCTGCACGACATAGGAAACTGAGGCTTGCAATTTCCTCTGCGTATTGGCTACAACCAGCATATCATCCAGAAAACCTGAGATATTGTGCCCAGCCACTCTCAATTTAGCATCAACTGGCTTCATTATTTACGAGGGGCACAGGAAAGCCATTTGGTAAGCAGGTAAACTGAAACACTTTGCCATCCCAGATAAATCTGAGGAATTTTCTGAAATCTTCATGCGCTGGAACACTGTAATAAGCATCCTTTAAATCGATTGAGGCCATCAAACTGCCTGGCAACAGCAACTTCAGCACTATGTCAAAGGTGTCCATCTTAAAATGGATATACTTAACATGGATGTTGAAGTTTTTGAGGTTTAGAATCAACCTGAATGTTCCATTTTTCTTGGCACAAGGAAAACTGTGGAGAGATATTCCCCATCAACATGAGAGGTTTCCTCAAGAACTAGAAGAAAAAATTGTGGACACCGAGATTAAACGCTTGTTGTTTTTCTAACAAGTGTTTAATCTCACCTTCCACAATTTTTTTCTTCTTTGACACTGAATTTTGATGTAGGTTTGCCAACCTGTTTTGGAACATCTTCGAACTCAATACTGCAGCCTGTGACCGTTTCAAGAATCTCTTTATCTGAAGTGATCTCTTGCCACTATACTACAAAGTGTTTCAGTCTTCCTGCTTCAAATTGAGTGGCTTTAGAATTGAAAGGCAGCATCACAAGAAGTCAAATCTTGTGGGTAGCCTACCTCACCTCTGGGTGTTGAGCTCCGGGCACAGCCATAACTAGAAGCTCCTCTCTTGGTGCCTCTTTCCCTTGGGATAGGGGCAGTACTGGGGTCTTCCCCGATACATGGCACCACACCCGGACAGATGGGGCCAAACCTAGATGGTCCCCGATGGTAGCCATATCCATCAAAATGGCCCGAGTGCTGTCGCTGCGGACCCTTGGGGTAAGGTTTGCCACCCAGTCGAAACTAGTTGCTTTGTTTTATGTCTTTGATGATCTGTTCAATATTGTCCTTTCCCCATAGAGGTAGTTATTGTGTGGACCATCTGTGGAAAACAGGTTGTTGTGCTTCCATGCAACCTCTGGTTTGTGTAATTCACGCCTACGGAGGCAAAGGCCATGGCAAGCATGACCCAGCATAGCCAAACTAGACATGGCTATCGTGGTCAAGTCATCCACACAACGTGTTCCTGTATCTTGGAATTCTGCTTGAAACTTATCAACTGCGAAGCTGTTCTGCATGATTTTGTCAACCAGTTTAGAACGGTTACTAGCGACCTTAACCACAGCCGCATGCACCACTTGAAGTCTCTCATTGAACATCTCGGTTGGACCTTTCAGTAGGTTTCACACAACTTCATCCACCTTGACAGCAGTAAGTCCCGTGCAGTTTTTTGGGCATAAAATCGCCTATGTGGTTTTCTTGAACAAGTCGTATTCCATCCCAGAAGTGAACATTTTGTTCGCCCCTTTTGCCAGTGGCTTGGCAATAGGCGGTCCGGTTTCCTCTTGGTCTGCTATGTTCAGTCCACTTAGAAATCTATCGTATTAAGATACGACGTTTGGGTCTTCGCTTGTCCCTGGCAAAGAAACTTGGTCACATTTGCCAGCATCGTCGCTGTCATGCCTTTCAGTTTCACGCTCCTGATTTTCGCGTTGTGTACATCGCTAGTGCCTTGTGAGTCATGGTCATGCTTTGCGAAACTGAATAGCAGTCACCATCCTATTCATCCGCAATGTGCCAGCCAGCGCCGTAGGTGTCATAATCATCACAAGGACAAAAGCAGTCTTCTTCATATTCCTGAAATTGCCTGTACTACCAATGTTCTTTTTCATCAGTCAAGTGCAATACATTTGACGTGCAGAGACTCAAGTTTTCGTGTAACTTATCAACTGCTTCTTCAGTCCTTGATTTCTTCAGCGGGACTTTCAATGCGCACGGAGCTTTCTGCGCAGTGGTAACACTGCCAGTGCCAGTGTGTTTATTGCCATGTGAACTCGCATTTTGTTTGGAGTTTTCATTCTGTTTTTCTTTCTCTTTGGGGTCGCCATCGGCACCCCTGGGTTCCTTTTCATGTTCATCACCCTTAGCCATCTGGCTCGGGTAAAACAGACCGTAAATCCTGTAATTAATGACCAAGTCAAAATCTTTGACTGGACGAACTCAAAAGTTCGACTGTCTGCTAAAAATAGCGATCGCAATCTGGTCTGCGCATGCACGGTCGTCCCCCGTGGAATTCCGTTATCACAACTCTAGAGGGCAGTGTAGAATTGAGTTTAAACTGTTCAGTGGGAGTCTTCTAACCCCGAAACACATTAAAACCCATAAGTCAGAGTATCTTTTTTCCCAGTCTGTCTGGATTTGAGGGGGGCCCCCACAATGGCCAAGTCATGTGGCCAAGCAACAATTGACAATCAATCCACACACCACCACCACCATACCACCACAATGAAACTATCCAAACACATGCCTAAAACATCACAGAGAACGAGTGGCAGCCGGCACTGGTAACTGAATAGCCTCAGCTGGCTCTGGCACCTGTCTGTGTAAATAATCAAATTGAATTCCTATAGGGCCACCTGGCTGATATGTTTTTATACAGTCCATGGAAAAGCTGGCTCAAGTATATTTTTTTTCTGGCTGAGGGTAATCCCCCACACGTTAAAGGTGACTAAATCAGGCTGTGCAGCATGAACAGAGGTAGGATTAAATGGGAGGTGGTTGCAGTTAGCCACAATTTTTTCCTTAAATTAAGTAATTAGCCAAAATATCCTCATAAAAGATGTCAACGCCTCTTCATAGGGCTACGAAAATATGGCTACGTAATGGCTCTACGGGTAAGATGAGTGCTGTAGACCCATGACTACACTTCACTTCAAACTATGTGAATGATTTGCTTATATGGACAAAATCTGAACGAATATTCAATTGCATTTAGCAAAATCTTTAATGTTTGGAAAGAACAAAAGCCATTAATGTCTACAACAGAATCCATGTGTATGCCTCTTTCAAATCTAAAATTGTTTGGGCATTGTTATGTCACAATGGAAGAAATATAAATGAGATAATTAAATAGTAAGCTGATGAATACAATGCAATCATCCTTATTTATTTTTTGGGTTCCTTGTGTTATCCTGACCTTAGGCCTAAGTTGTCAAACAGATGTGCAGTAATGCAGTTGGCGACTAATAATAACAACCAAGCATAACTGTCAGAGTATAAAAGCAAATGAACTTTGATGAAGTTCCTACATCTGTCCTGTCTGAAGTCTACTGCAGCAACAGACCTCTGTACTAATGATGTCACACTAGTTGTGTGCTCTTCTGTGGTGCTCAGAGGACTGGAGCTCCAGCAGCTCCTTAGGAAAGTACAAATGTAAATAAAGTGAGATGCTATCAGTACAGAGGCCTGTTGTTTCTTCAAAAATTCAATAAGCTGAAGCTTCCAGGTCAGCTTTTCTTACATGATAGTCACAACTGACTTTCAAGAACCCCTAAAATGTGATTTGATGGATTCAATTTACTGTAGAAGTAAAATGTTTATTGTTTCCTGTAAGCACTTACCATTATCAATGGCTACAACATAGCAAATTGGCTTTGTTGCATTCTGTTCGCATAAATCTGGTCGGTTGATAAGGCCTCGGGCAAAATCCACACATATCCACTTCTTTTCTTTTGAACTGTAAACTTCAATCCAACTGTTACACACTACAGGAAGAGAAACCATTTAAAACATATCACTGATGGATAATGTACACAGATCACATGCAATAAATAAAGTGATGAAAGTATTCAAAAATTTAGTACATGTCAACACAAAATGTAGATTTCTCTTTCAATGCACTCTGTCCCACTGCTTTGAAGGGTGTTAAAGAATGATAGTCTTGATTTAACCACTTCCTGCCAGGTGACCCGTTTTCGAGTACATAGGCTTTATATGCAGAGCTGGGGAGCCTGGAACTGGGACAAAAGAGTTGGGCCGTACAACAAAAGACCATGCTCAGCACAAAAGACTGAGCTGCTGGGCATTACCGACATTTTTTCGCTCTCAATAGTGGAGAAAATCCAGCCTTGTTTTGAAACAGTATACCATGGTTTGAGGCATTTAGAGCGAGCGGATTACCACCGGGGACAAAAGCTCTCCACCACCACAGCGATGAGCCACACAGGACCCTAATCTGGCCCCTATTGAAAAGTGGTTAACGTAGCTGAATCAATTAAAGTTTGTGTGTTCACTCAGGGAGGCTAGTTTCACTACAGTGCAAGCTTTATTAAACAAATCAATATTTGTTTTATCACACCTCTCCAACAGATTCAGCTTATTTCAGTAATATCTGTTTAAATACATTTAAAAGATATGTCTATTTGAATAGATATTTGTTGGAATTTTACAACCACTTTTTAAAATTAAATAATTGTGAAAAACTGTTTCATGAAGAGTAAGGTATAGAGGTTTTTCAGTCACGTGATTCTTGATCAGTGTGCAATATACACATATGTGTTCAGGAATATGCGTGCCTTCAAAGTCTCTCAGCATCCTGGCATACATGAAACTGTCAACTGAAACACGCAGATTCAAAAATGCAAGGACAGCTGCAGACTTGGAATACTTCTTGAACTGTCTTTGCCGGTCAAGTGATGTCATATGAAAAATAGAAGTTTATGGAAACAGCAGGGTCACTGGTATATGTATCACTACTTGCTACAATCACAAGGTCAAGGCACATGAGCATGCAGTCAGATGCATGTACAGTGGAAAACCGCTATACTGAACATTCAGCTGTACCGAACATCATCCTTGGCTCCCAAAAATTTGGGCACGGAACCTACCAAACACTATTCAGTTGCCGTTTGTAATTCCCAAATGTTAACACGATTAAACAGTCGGTGTTTTTTATGTTGGAAAGTGACAAGTGGTCATTATTTCCCCAAGGATTAGAAGGGAAAGCAACTAGTTGTCAACGGTATTGAATAGACACTGGTTTTGCGACTCCGCATGATCGGGTGCGGAAGAAAACCGCACGTATGCACACGGTGGCATTGCACTAACAATAGTCTAAAGNAGGGTGCCGCTGATACACAAATCAACCGAGATTCGCCACAGCATGCATGAGAGATCGATCCTGAGCGGTAGTTTCACGACTTTTAGGATAATCTTGATATCAATTTTTTGACTCAAGTTTAAATAAAAAACAAAAATATTTAACACATACATTTCTAAAAACCTTAAACTTGAATACAACAGAAAAATGTCACGAAAACAGCGACCAAGGTATCTCAAGAGGGTGCACTTCGGTTAGACAAGAGAGGGCGCTATTCAACATGGCAACGAAACGCTAAATTCGCTATACCGAACGACTGCTGTACCGAAAATTTAGCGTGGATCCCGTCTTGTTCGTTATTGCGGCGTTCCACTGTATAAACTGTCTTCTCAAGCATCACATCTTTCCTCCTCGACCTGCAACCTTTTGTCCAATAAAGTTTGTTGCTCAATAAAGATATTACACAGATAAAAAATGCCTTTTTGCATTATAATGCTATTAACCATTACCTCTTCTTTCAGATGGGAGAACTCTGTAGTCATTTTCCGAGTCTGAAGACACTATGTTTCTGTTGGTTACCTTTCTCTTTGAGGAAAATTCTTCTGTGAGCACTTCAGCTTTAGGTTGGACATCTTCTTCAGAATCAAGGTATGGACTCTTTTCTGGAATTTTCCAAGTTTTCCCTGTGCTTTCACAGCTTCTTGTTTTCATTTTGTGAATTTCATCATTTATTCTTGACCGTTTCCTTCGCCATTTTCTCTTCTGTTCCCTTGAGTTTGATTTTGAATTAGTATTTAACAGTTTTCTTTTTCCTTTATCAGATCTCTTGGATGTGGGAACTCCACTTATACGTTCCTGTTTTTGTGGGTGCGGTTGCAATGATGCACGCTCACTGCAGACCTATAATACAAACAGAAAGGAAATCAAAGAAACACAAGCATACAAAAACGACTTTCATTTGTCACCTGGCTTTACACAATGACAATTAAATCAATTTAGATAATTGTCCAAAAATTTGAATTTTTTTTAACAAATACTGAAACACTGCTACTCTTCAAATCCATATTGGAACAAAAATCAACTTTATTTTCTGTGCATTTTGTGTCCAATACCTTATTTCAGTTTAACATATATGTACAAACTGCTCTCCATACTATCTGACCTTGTTCTGAATGTTGTACTCTTCCATTATTTGTTTTAATTCCATCAAATGGCACAGTGAAATTATTCATGTACGTGCATATACAAAGCTCACTATTTTTGGAAGATTCTTATTCTTTAATCTGCTAGAGCCTGGGAGTAAAGTTCAATAGTCTTGTGTAACTATCTTTGGGCTCCTTTTGGTCTTGCATGTTACATCTATGTGCCATTAACCTAATTCCACAGGATTATTTGGCAGACCTCACAAAACCGGGGTGCAAAAATCCACAGCAGACTTATCCAGAGCAGAAAGATGTTCTCATGTTTATGTTCTTTGGCTCTGTGTAGGGTTTTGTATTTTTACAACTGTTCCAAAAAAACTTGGATTGATAATATGTGTAGGTGTGACATGCATAGTGTGGAGCTCTGCACAAAAGAAATCCACTAATGTAGGGTGCGATGGCATTGTGTGGCCTGGCACACATCCACACCATGTTTTCCCTCTCTGAAAAACAGTTTCAGACGCATTTTGGGGTCAGGGTTATCATGGCAAAATGAAGAGGAACAGTCCAGGAAATCATCATCAAAAATCCAGCTTGAAGGAGTTATCCAAGTGGGAGAAAAAGGAGCATATTTCCCAAGTTACCTTAACCACTACCAGCCGGGGACTCCGAAATCGGAGC